TTCCTAATCCCTCACTCATCCCCAGAGGCATGTTAATTGTTGCCTTCCTGGCAAACTTTTGAACTGTTCTTAATTTTCTTGGGGACTGTTGAAAGGACAGCCTGGAAAATGGGGGACAAGTTGTGTGGAAAATCCTTCCCTCAATATCTTGTTATTTTTGTTTTAAACAATACCTGTTATGACAATTGATGTTCCATTTAAACAATGGCATAAAGACATATCTAAATTTGTGTGGCAAGGCCAAAACCCCCCCAAACAAACATGAATTAAGTACGAAGTTTTACAAGATGCTAAAGAAAGAAGAGGTTTAGGTCTCCTGGATTTGAAGTTTTATTTTGCAGCTTGTTTGGTTTGGATGAAAGAGTGGGTGACTTTTAGAAATAGGTTATTGAAACTAGAGGGGCATGACCTAAGATTTGGGGGGTATGGCTATTTATGGTATGATAAAGTTAAACTTAATGTAAATTTTAAAAATCATTTTATTACACGTGCCATATTGAGAATATGGAACAGATATAAATCTAGGTTGTCTCTGAAGGTTCCTTTATAGTTGTCACCACAAGAAGCTTTTTATAGAAGAGAAATGGTAACTAAACATAAATGGTTAACTTATTGTGACATACTGGAATTTTCTCAAGGGGATGTTAAATTAAAGATGAGAGGAATTGATATCAGAAAGATACATGTGTCAATGGTTTTCTTATATACAATTACAAGAAAGATTTAAAATGGATAAAAGGAATTATAGTTTTGAATATGGTAAGACTGAATTTGAAGCAGAATTATGTACTAATGATGAACATGTTATTGCCAAGATGTATAAACTTTTACTGAAACTAGAGACAGAAGATGAACAAATTACAAGAAAGATTTAAAATGGATAAAAGGAATTATAGTTTTGAATATGGTAAGACTGAATTTGAAGCAGAATTATGTACTAATGATGAACATGTTATTGCCAAGATGTATAAACTTTTACTGAAACTAGAGACAGAAGATGAACAAGTTAAGAACTGTATGAAAAATGGGCTAAAAACTTTGACTGCAATATACAGATGGAACAATGGGAAGATATGTGGCAGAAAGGACCTTAAAGAAAACTTTTATAAAATGATGTATAGTTGGTACTTGTTGATAG